GACCCCCCGCCGTTCCCCCAGGACATGGCCGACTCCCGCCGCATCAATGCCAACATCCGCGAGGAGGACGAGAAGCGGCCCCTGGAGGAGCAGCCGCCGTTCGGGGTCTATGCCGTCATCCTGTCCAGCGAGTTCTGGCCCCCCTTCAAGGACGAGAAGCTGGAGGTGCCCGAGGACATCCGGGAGGCCCTGGAGGTCTACTGCAGGAAGTACGAGAAGCTGAAGGTACTGCCCGCCCCATGAGCGGGGCTCCCACCGGCGGGGCTGTAGGGCAGGATTTCCAGGTCTCGGCCTTGGAGCCTGTGTGCTGCTGCCGCCTGGGCTCCGGTCCTGTGTGCGACGGGGCTGCCCGGCCTCCCGCTTGCTGTGGGGGTGGAGGCACTTGGAGCAGCCCCACCCCAGACGGGGACTCAGAACAACAGGATTGTTGCCTTCATTCTGGCTCAGGGTCCCAGCCAGGGGTCACAGGGCATCGCCCCGAGTCCACAAGGGCCCTCCTGCCTCTCCTGGCTTCTGGTGCCTGGTGCAGGCGCCGCCCTCCACCGTACGGCCACCCGTGGCTCCTCCGGCCCCGTGCCCACATCTCCCTCTGAGAGGGCACCAGGCACTGCTCGTGCGACGCCCTGATTGCGTCTGTAGTGACCCCACTTCCAAGTGCGGTCGCCTCCTGAGGCCCAGGGTCAGTGCGTCCCCTCTCTTAGGACCCCAGTTTGGGCCCCTAAACGCGTGCCTTTCTCACATGCAGCAGCCCCCAAAGTCTCACTCCAGCTCCCACTCAGTTCAGAGCCTCACTAAACGGCAGCTCAGGGTCCCGCTTTCGGCATCAGCTCCCACCCGAGTCCGGTGAGGCTGAGGCCTGGGCACTTCCTCTTCTGCAAGGAGCCCTGGGCAGACGGGCTGCCTGCCCCGCGCCCGTGGGGACGGTGGGCACACCCTCGTTCCGACAGGAGCACGCCTGACGCCGGGTTCTGAGGCTCGAGGCTAATGGTGGGGTGCCGTCCTCGGCTCATGGGGGCCCCTGCATCTGGCTCTGCCTGCCAAGCACTCGTGCGCTGTCTCCCCCTCAGTCCAGGCAGCCTTTCCCCGGAGAGCAAATTCTCAGAACCTGTGGGCTCCCCAAGTCGTCCACGGCAGAGCCGGCGCCCGCACGTCTGGCTGGCTGGCTGGCTGGCTGGTTGCTTCCACTGCACAGCCAGCTTTGGGCACCCCTCGGGCTCACAGGAGTGCCCTGCCTGCGGGGCCCAATGCCGGGTTCCCTCTTACACAAGAGCCAGGCTGTACCTCCCGCCCTCGGCCTGGGAGTGTCAGCTCAGCCTCCAAGCTCGGCACCTGCAGGCCCCCTCCCCTCCGTGCTCCGCGGCATGTCCCTCGTTCCCACAGGCTCACGGCGGCCTTCACTGTCCGTGTGTCTGGCACCTGTCCCTCCAGGCAGTCCATGCCGTGTGCAACTCCGTCGCTCCCCACCCGCTCCATGGCTGCGCCCTGTGCCAGCATTTGTTAGAGCAGCACCCCTTCCCGGGACCCTAACCTGTCCCTGTGGCTGCCACAGCGAAGCCCCAGGCCAGGGGGCCTACAGCAGGGGGCGGTCTGGAAGCTGGGTGACCCCGAGGGTCGGGCCCTGTGCCCTCGGCCATGGGAGGGAGTCGTGCCGGCGCCTCTTGGCTTGTGGCCATGTCACTGTCTTCATGTAGCTTTTCCCCGTGTCTGTGTCTTGTGTGTCCTTCCTCTCACGAGGACACCGGTCCTGTCATGTGAGGGCCCCGGCTCCCCAAGGTGAGCTCGTCTTAACCAGTCACACGGGCAGCGGCCTGTGTCCAAGTTGGATCCTGGGGTGAAGCCACCCGAGACCCAGCTCGGCCTCCGACAGCGTCTGTGGCTGGTGCTCAGTTAGATGGGGTCGGGGGGCAGAGCCCCCCCTGCCAGGCTGCCTGGGGGTGGGCGCCGGTCAGGCCTCCGTGCGCTGGGCCAGGTCTCACCCACCCTCCGCAGGCCATGCGTACCCTCAGCTGGAAGCACACGCTGGGGCTGGTGACCATGGACGTGGAGCTTTTAAGGAACCCCAAAACTTGAATAACCAAGCTCAGAGGGAACTCTCCTGCTCTACATCCAATTCCTTCCTGATAACTTACCATTCTACACTAGGAAATAAAGAATTCACTCACCTTAAAGAGAAACACTATAAGTTGTTTCTTCTCTCTCAAACATACTTTGAAGGGTAACAATTAAATTTTAAGTTGCTTCCAGCTCAAAAATTCTGACCTTAAGTACCTGAGTTCCAAAATACTTCCTTCGCCACTATTAAGTAAGTAATAACAATGTCTACTACAGTCTAGGGGGCGGCTGAGGGCGGGGCCCAGGCAGCCGGCTGACACACGCTGTCCCCCAGCTCTTCTGGACGTACATCCAGGCCATGCTGACCAACCTGGAGAGCCTGTCGCTGGAGCGCATCTACAGCATGCTGCGCATGTTCGTGGTCACCGGCCCCGCGCTGGCCGAGATCGACCTGCAGGAGCTGCAGGCCTTCTTGCAGAAGAAGGTGCGCGACCAGCAGCTGGTCTTCGCTGCCGGCGTCTACCGCCTGCCCAAGAGCTGC